GACCGGGACTGGTGGGGCGAGGCCTTGTTGGCCTCTGTGCTCAGCTGCCTAGACTGCGGCTGGACGCTGGGAGAGGGATGGAGTGAAGAGCGTGTGCGCGCATCAGAGGGAGCGGCACCTTGGCAATAAGTGCGGGGGTGGGGTGGGGTGGTGCTTAGCCTGCGGGAGATCCTGGAAGAAGGAGACCTTGCATGTGAGGAGCAAGTCTCTCAAGCCTGATCCCTCACAAAGCTGAAGCCTCTGCATCCGGGGCACTTGACATGTGACAATGGGGCGGTCCCTTGCTTCACTGGGGGAGGGGGGCTCCTGGGTCCCCCTCGCCTTGCCCAGGCAGCCCCCCACCTGGCCCCTTTCCGCAGCGGCTGGATCGCCACCATCTCCTTCTTCGGAACAAACGTCGGCTCAGCCGTAGTGATGCTCATCCCCACCATCATGTTCACAGTCGTGGCCACCTTTTCCTTCATTGCCCTCAGCATGGTAGGTGGGCACCTCAGGGCCAGAGGGGGAGCTTGGGGGGACTGTGATCTGTGGCAACCCCTCCTCCCAAACACAGGAGGATCCAGTGGTCCCAAAAAGAACTCACTCTGGAAAGGCGTCGTGGGTTTTCCCACCAGTGTCCGGGGTAGGGGCTAGCGGGGAGGCCAGCGTTTCACAGGGCCTTGTCCTCGGGTCCCATCTGTTCCCTGGATGGCCGCCTCTTCCCTTGGGTTAACCCTTTCTTATACTTCTCCTACAGGTTCATAAATTCTACCGGGGCAGTGGGGGCAGTTTCAGCAAAGCCCAGGAGGAGTGGACCACGGGTGCATGGAAGAACCCGCACGTGCAGCAGGCAGCCCAGAATGCAGCCATGGGGGCGGCCCAGGGCGCCATGAACCAGCCGCAGACCCAGTATTCCGCCACCCCCAACTACACATACTCCAATGAGATGTGAGCCCACCAAGCCTCCTGGGAGGCAGGGCTGGGGCCCCGTGGGACAGGGGGCTCAAGCCACGCCGTCTTTTGTGGTGACCAAGCAGGGTTCCCCCTTCCCTTTTCTCCCTGTCCCCCACTTTGTACAATGAATCAGAGTTATATATATATATATGTACATATATATGTATATGTCTATCCCCTCCTCCCCACTTGGGTCCTGCTCTCACGGGCTGGGGCCCTGTGGGACAGGGGGCTCAAGCCACGCCGTCTTTTGTGG